TAAAAATAACTATGTAAAATTCAATGTGTGAAGGAAATGTTATAAAACTATTCAGTAAAACAGGGTTTACTGACCATAATATGTGATATGCAATATTTTGTTCAYATCCTATATGAGGAGTTAAATTAAATGGTACTGAATTTAATGGCTTAATGAAAAAGGTATTTCTTCATTAATCCCATTGTTAAAGAATTTATATTTGTAAGCACGTGAGGGATAATTGTCAATATCTCTTTATTCGTACCATTAAATTGATAGAACCTACTAACTATAGTATTTTATATGGTAAAATTAATAATAAATGTGAATGATAGATAATTTTGATGTTATTTTAAATTTGGAATAAACAATTTTTTAATCATAATGTCATACTAAAATGTATATATCATAACCTTGTCCAGAGATAAGAATGATTTTAGCTATAGACGCTGTGAATTTAAAACATTCCAYGATTTAAGATATTATTATTATTAATAATTAAAATTAATAATATAAATAACGATTGATGAGAGAAATAACTAACATTTACCTACGCATAATTTAATAAATTGCACGTTTTAGATAATTTGAAATGTAACTTTTTGTAATTTGGAATAAAAATATCTTTGACTATCAGCATAAAAGAACGCTTGTTAGAATAATTTACCTAATAAAATAAATTAATAATTTTAATGATCGACACAAGAAACAGCGTATCAAATCAGAATACATATTTATAAAAAACATTTTATTCACGAATAAAATAATTTACCTGCAGGTATTACTATATTATTGTTTATTATGTTAACTTAATAATATTWAAACCAGTTGTCAATATACATTGTATTCGCGGGGTGATCATTGATCAAAGATTTCAGTCAAGATTKTTGGTACATTCAATTTTTGTTTTTAATAACATTGGAACCAAAAATTATTATTACTAATTAAATAGCTTACTATAATTTCTGTTTTGTTACTTTGTTAGTCTTTTACTTTCCGTAAATATTGACAGGTTATTAGATGTATATACTTTATCARAATATTTTTTTTTAATGGCTGGTGTGCATAATTTAGCAACCTGGCCATTTATTATTAAATCAATATTTGATGTATTATTAATATAATCGTTTATATTAATGGAGTAGGGATAAGATATTTCTTTGAGATCAATCATTATAATAATTACTATAATAATATGCAAATATAAAAAAAATACTTGATTATAAATTGGTATTTGGTTTATTATTTGATATTTATACATCAACATTTTCAGAATAAATATTTCTCGTATTTTTTTAATGAAGATAGGTACCATAAATAAAATTGGATCAAGTAAATTATTTTAAATTTATTTTTAAGTAATAAATCAWGAAATTTATATGAATAAGGGTTTATAATGGCAAGTTGAAATTCTAAGTKTAATAATTCTGTCTACGAAATATTACAAATATTTACAATATTCAAATAAACTATTGAAAAATCATATATACTTAGTTCAACGAATATAATATAATATTTATCAGAGATTATTTAAATAATATTTTTCAAAATGTTATTTTTGCTTTATCAATATATAATTGATTGATAGAAGGCAAATGATTTATTCGATTATAATTATTAATAGTTTWGTGTAATTCGTAATAAGTAGATACAGCGATATCTCAATAAATTTTCTTTGCAATTAATGGTTGTGTATTGTATATAATATCATATTGTATATATTATAATAAATTCTACTAATGTTGATACAAATCATGAATGTGTAAGTACATTTGAGAGTTAGAGGGACATGAAAACCGCAAACATAAATAATTATGTTATGAAAGCAAAATAATAGTTTTATGAAAACTCAACCCATGACAACCGTAGGTACTAGGAAATACTGGTCGGTTAATTAATGCAAATTGAACAAGCTATAAAATGGTGGTGTAAACTGTAAAGTGTTAACACTATGTTCATACGATAAAATTAATTAGAATGACATGTCACAAATTAAATATTTAATTTTATCAAAATAAACAACATGAATGTCGTATTTCAACACAATTTTTTTTTTTTTGATTAGTCTATATCGAATTGCAATACCTTAAAACTTAATTGCGTAAATTTTAATTCAGTTTGTATGCTAGGTAGTATAACGAAGAGACGTTGAGTAGATAATTGTAGGAAGATTGCCTAATACTACCATTTAGTTAATAACGTTTTGTATAAAATATTTACATATTATCTGATAGAATCACAAGAAGATAATCTTTCATACATTTTAAGTATATAATATTATGAAGTAGGTATATGCATATACATCATGTTATGTTTCTAGGTGGGTACATATTAATTATTGAGCTTCATAATGTATTACTTTGATAAAGGGTTTACTGTTAGAATGTTTAAAATAACCTCCATATAAAGCGAAAGATCCATCATCGTGTTATTATTTACCGAATTCCATAGTATAATAAGTCATTGAAAATKTAACATTCAATTGATATCTTGTACGAAGGAAATCGGAGCACACGTTATGTTCGTACGTTTTAGATAAATAGGCGATGGTTAATATTATACACATAGTCCGCCTAGTCCGGAATGTCCAATTTTAATTTTTCATATACGCATTTTGATATCGATTTTCAATTTTCAATTTTAAAGGACCTCAAAAAGAGAATAATATTTTATTTTTCGGGTTTAATTGGCATTGTCATGCGTGCGTGTGCGACTGTACGATAGAGTTGTATCCGACAGTGGTTTWCCGACACGGAGCGACAGCGATTCTCGGAAACACACTATATTGTTGCCCACTCACGCATAGACATGACCCAAATGTACGTGTCGTATGAATTGCCTAAATATTACTACTTTTAAACGCGATACACTCCAGTCAATTCAAAACTTCCATATTAAAACGAACATCCGTTTAACGAAATTTTCTGTTTAGCGGAAATATTTTTTGTAAATTCTATTTAAACAATTTCTCTATAGTACGAATTTATTATACGTTTACTGTTGAGATTTTGTGCTATGGAAGTTTCAGTGTATTTAAAAAACCACTTACCAAAAGTCTTACTGACGACATTTGATATAGTTGTATCGATTTTGCAATACGGATATTCATTTTAAATAAACACAGATAGAAAATTCAATTTTTCATTAATATTTATAAGTAACTCGTAGTATTTTTTCCACAATTCACTGGAATAATTTCAAATATATACCAATCGTAAATTGTTATCGGACATCATCTAATGGAAACTTGTTTTATTTGATTCATTATACAGTATATCAATCAGTGTATATCGCTCAGTCATGGAGTTCAAAAGGTCTTCAGGGTGTGATTGTGCAATATAAGTTTTGCGTGCTCTCTATTCATCCAGTGTAATGATTACTACTACGAAAGCTATTATCGAAATGACAACCAATCACAAAGTTAGACGACGACAAAGTTTATACTGTAATTATTAGTAACTCATGGTTACCAGTGAATGTTCRGTAACAGTTGTGCGGTTACTATTGTTCTGGCTATTGTTGTAGAACGGTTTCCATTCAGTTCGATATTTATGTCTCGGAGGAGCAAATCCTCCGCGGCGTAGTGTAAATCGATCTTAATTCTAAAGCGGCGAGTTTGAGTACGGTAGAAATCGATTGGTATACAGATCTCTAGGGTCCAAGTTTACTGCTCATTGTTTATTTACTGCAGTTAGAAACATATAATATATTATATTATATGATGTACAAATAAATATTACAGAATCATATCATGTTCTTCATCTACTACATAATTTTGTCGTGTAGATAACGTGTTCAATCTAATCAGTATAATTATTATTATGTTCAAACATTTTAGATTCTGAGCGAAGCAAGGAATGTATTGATTTTACCTTGATGWGTTTTTTTGCGTTTTCACGTTTTGGAGCAGTAAAAGTGCTTCGATTTTCGACTTCAGTATATACCTCGTTCGATCAGAAAGTGAATCTAGTTGGTACTTTGGGGTGTAAGAAGTAAAAAATTCCCAATRGTTTTCTTAATAATTGGGATAAATAAACAAACAATTATGGAATCACTCGGTCAAAACCGTTCTTCAGTTTCAGCTATCACCAAGTTCATCAAAAAAGCAGACCTTTTTTTTTTCCGTTTTAACCGACGACGCTTTCGCACTGCTTCCGCGGCGCCGCCATAATTTATTGACAGTATCAAATATTAATACATACGTATAGGAGGCAGACGGGACAGCTACCCGACTTACCTCGTTCAAGCATTTCAAAGTTTTGCTTTAACAACATCAAGTTCATCACAAAAGCAGACCTACAAAATAAAATATGAACACTGTAAAATAATATAGTTGTTAATATAAATTCAACTCAATGTAACTTAAATTTTGTAATCCAATGTTCTATGTCTCCGAGGGTATACCTCGCTATTTCGTTTTAGTAAAAAAAAAAATACGGGAATTTTTTCGCACAATCAATTTTCGACAAAATCGATTTTGGTTTTTGATGTAACTTTCAAACAAACAATCATCGATACATGAAATTTTCACCGAATGTTTATTTAAGTATTTTTTATCCAGCATAAAATTTCGACTAACTAAACTGTTTAGTTTCGTACATTTTTTAAATTTAATCAGTACAATAACACTGCACGGTCATAACAAAATTAAGTAGATGATATTGTATTAGAATCTCTAGTCATCTAGGAAATCGCTTCATTATAATTTATGATAAAGAACTATTGATTAAATAAACTTCACTTACAATAATGCGTATAATAATTATTATATTAGGTATACACGAGTTTAATAGATATTATGTATAAGATCATATTATATCTGATTTATATATAATCAAAACTCAAAAGTTGAATAAATGTATAAGATTCAAAAATAATAGACTGTGAGTCTGTATAATAAAACACAAGTTATACAGAACCAAGCCGTTTGGAAAGTCAATTGTTCCATAAATTATACATTTAAAGGTGAAATCAATACACGGTTAATAATCATGTTAATAAGAAATAAACAATATTATTAATAAATCACAATTTATTATTATTTTGAATTTATACATATTAAGTAAGTATATATTCTTTTGTTTTTAACATATTAGGCGTAACAACCTTATTTTTACGTCAACGTTCGTTCGACAATAATATAAGGTTAATAATATATAGTAGGTAGTAATACACGATGAAAGACTAAACGAGACACTAGTAAATATAATATATATTTATATATAAAAAAAACATGTAAACTAATGTAAAATTATTTCACCTAATTTTTTCAGTATTTTTTTTTATTTTACAAACAATTATTGTTGATATATAAATTAATATTTCTAGTTAGGACCGCATGCCAACGCGTAACATTAATGGTCGAAGTATAATATTTAAATATTTTGTTAAGTTAGATTTATAATTGTTTAAATTGTTTAACAAAAAGTTCTTATTCTAACATATTAATGTAATAATAATTAATATCATATTTAACATCCTTTGAGAGAGTTCTTGTTCTCYTCGACTGAACCTTTGAGTTTTTAGCAGAACAAGTTAAAACATCGATGCCATTTAAATAGAACGGTTTCGGTTGCTTTATTTAGTGGTTCGCCAAATGACCAAGCAAAAGTAATTTACCTACTTGGAATTAAAAGTTTTTGTTGTTATCTTGCACTGGTACCTTCCTTTCGTACYCTTTTGATCGACGACGATTTCTGGAATCATTACAAAACGTTATATAAAGTATAAACACCGAACGTCGGCGGGTCAATGGCATAATAATGGCGCATAGATAAGACAATAGCCCTCACGTTTCGTCAAAGTCTCCGAAGGCTTGTTGCGGAACTTTATCGGCGTTTGCGTACAACTTGACACGTTTCCGTAATACGTCGGATGAACTTTGTGCTGCACATTAGTTTTCGTTACGTTCTGTGCACGACTTTGGATTCTGTAAAAGAGGAGAACAAAATGTTAAGTGATAATAATCGAAAAAAAACCATCTCGTTATTTATTAATTGTATTAGTTGGGATTGCAATACCGTCTTTTTACGCAACCGTACACAAATTGTGCACCAATTCAGGTAAACGAAACTTTTTGAATGAATCGTATAATCAGGGACGTAACTCGTGTTACCAACTTTTTCATTACAGTTAACATTCATAAGTGGTTCCTAAATTAATATTACCAATTCAAATATTTATTTGACACATCATTTTCAATTTGATGTATTTTTAAGATTAAACATACAATTAATATACTACATAATATCAAATAAGTCATATGATTACTAATCAGAAATAACAGCCAGTTGCGATGAACAAAATAATTATTAATTACCGACCTTGTGGTGATTGAGAAGTCCGTAAAATAATATAATAATATTTTTTTGAATGAATGAATGAACRAACCAYTAAAAACTATACAAAATAATATCATAATGTTTAATATGTTCATATGAAACATTTAATTTAATATTATTAAATTTTAAGTATTAGATAATGTTATAATTTATAGTATTATGTGTGTCCATAAAAAAAAAATTATAAATAAAATCAAAGAACAGGTTGGGAACGATTAAAGATTTTATAATACATTAGGTACATTATATTATTACGATGTTCTATAATTAATGAATAATTATTCAACATCTATGCAATTCGTGTTACCTTATTTATTTTAAGATAAAAGCGACACACAGTTATTTGAGCCTTACTAATTGGATACGCAAAACACTTATTTAATGTAGTTGAGTTCTTAGTGTTTTTTAAATACTACATTAACATTGGGTCCCACAATTTTCAGACAACATTTTGGTTTGGTCCATGCAAAAAACATTTCTTTCCTTAATATGTTCACAGACTTCGGAGACTGTCAGTGACTCATAAATTAGAACACAGATATGATTGAAATTTTTTTTAAAGTTCCTAACATATTATAATAGCTAATATGGTAATAATATATTGCCACTCTAGGTTGCAGCTATATCGCAARAAAACATAATTAATTTCTTTTTGCATTTTAGTTATTAAATAGAGACGCATTAGCAATAATTTTAACAAAATATTCGAGACGTACATTACCTTTATGGCAAAATATAAATCAACTGAAAATTAAATTGATAAYTATGAAGTTGTCTAAATTAAAATTAATTTAAAATCATGTATATGCATCATACCTAAGATTTATGACCAATTTAGTAATTTACCACATGAAATTTRAATAAACTAGGTATTACATTTAGTCTATTATTTTTTTAGTATTCAAAATACTTAAACAAGAAACCATTTTAACTGCAGTATTGTTGAAATACTTAATAATATTAACCGGGGGGGGTAGTAGTCGATATTATTAGTATTCTTGAACWAAATACAACATTACTTTTTCGTAAAACTAGCTGTGGTCTTAGTGGCGACACTGTTGGAGTTGGCCTGTGGCTGGCTCTTAGTTTTCCTTTGCATTTTCGGTTTGACTCTTTGAACTTCGTCCGCGGCGTCTTCGTCCGAAGAACTGACCTCGTCCAGGTGCAACAGTGCTTCCCTGCTGTTGGCCCGCTGCAAAAGTCGAGCGGCTTTCTTTTTGTTTTTGAGCTTCGCTTCAGAGTGATCTGGTTTTGTCCTCGGCCTGTTGTCGCAGGCGTCGTTCGGGGGTTGCGACTCGTCGTCGGTGTACCCATTGACGGCTTTCAGTATCTCGTCAGCGGCACGATTTAGTTCTTCCAACACCGAAACCTCCGAGTCCGCCGTCTCCTTCCGGCTGACGCGACATTTGTAAGTGGTCGCTTTGGACTTGTTGAGCTTGGGACCCAGGTCTTTGGGCATGTTCAGCCAGCTATCCCGGCCCGTGCTGAACAAGTCCTGCGCCTGTTTGCTGGCGGCCGGCTTGTCCTTGATCCTGAGACTGTTGGCGCGGTACCCGATGTTGCCGTATATCGACTCCTTCTTTTCGGTGGGTTTTTTTTTACTCTCGTTACACTGCACCGGTTTCGGTTGCACCGTCATAGGAACCTGAAACAAGAACCACCGATAATATTAACTAATAATAATTAGATATAATTAAATAGAATAGATAGTGAATAAAATAGATATTTAACGAGGGTTGCTGTAGGTACCTATGGAATATCATATTGTATTCATATATGTGAAAACAGTGCAACGCATTTGCTGCAGTTTATCTAATTGCTAAATCGAAAATCATATCACATTAAATATGGATACTTGTCACTTGATATAATACAGTAAGTAGGTCTTGGTAGATATTTTAAATTATATTTTTCGTAATACTAATAAACACTGTATTTTRAAATTTTGAATACTTTTTCAAAGTATTGATTTATAGTATGTAAATTAATTAAATCATCATCGAATATGAATTAGAGCAGCGGTTCTCAAACTTGTTTTTTCGCGTACCGCTTAAGTATATTATCGATCAGTCGCGTACCACTGATGATTAAAAATATCGACAATATCAACGATTATACCTATACGATATCTTATTTATTGACGTATTTTCCGTGAAATCTAATCTTTATTATCTGAATATTAAAAAAAACACAYGACATTGTAAAATCATCGCTACGCCAAGAATCTAATATTTGTTTTTAATTTTCCATCCTATCACCCCATGCAGCCTTTCGCGTACCACCATGGAGTCTTTCGCGTACCACAGTTTGAGAACCGCTGAATTAGAGTATAAAATTAAAAAAGAATTAGAGATTAGTTATTTTTATACTTGCAGATTAACGAGTAACTAAGTTAGGTACACATATATTTTTAAGACGTTCGGAATATTATATTGTGAAAATACTATTTATACGACAAAGCATCCGTGAAAATATATTCTGAGTACTATTTTAGTATTTTAAATAATTTTGAAAAGTATTTTACCCAAATACGATTTAGATTAACATTTATTCGAGAGGTATAATCGTTATCGGATAAAATATTGTAATATTCACGTATTCATGTTTATTCAGCCTTGGAAATGTTTACCTGTTTCAAAGAAACGGTGGCACACGTTTTGGTAACAGGTGCCTCCGTTTTTGGTTTGCTCTTGCGATTGTCTTGTACGATTTTTACCGGCACACGTTTGCTWGGCTGTTTTTGGAGCGAGTCTTCAAACTGGTGATTTACAACGTGTGTCACTTGCGAGGTTTGCACGCTCACCGGTTGGAACTGAGACCGTTCGGGTTCCAACTGTTTCTCGTGGTTCAACAAAACCGAAGTGACATTTGGCACCACCAATGTCGATTCGTACGTTTTAACATCCATTTTTTTTAGAAGATTTTCTGAAAATGTACATTAGCCCACGGTCAATCATATTGTTTACTATATGTTGTGTCACGTCAAGTGTGTAGGTATCCCCCTCCCAAATAACCTTCCCTTTCCAGTAATTTAAAATAATTACAGCCCATCCCTCAGGTTAATTATATTATAATTGCACATTCTCTTCTACTACACATATATACTAGATATACCTATATAATATACAAACTACACTTCCACTGTACTATACTTCTACTAACGTATATATAATAACATCGGTACCTTGAGAACATTGTGATTGTTTGATATTTTTTTTTACAGTAGATATGAGCTTTTTGAGATTATTGCAGTCCGGTAGCCGGTCGTCTTCGTTAATGCAGTCGGCGGCCATGTACGACCTCACTTCCTCGTCAGCCTTTAAACTCTCCTCACTAGTCTCGTCCGTGCTCATGAGATCTTTGGCGTACTCCAGCCGGCCGTGGATTTCGTCACACGGCTGACGCACTTTGATGAGCGTCACGTGATGCCGGTGGGCGGTGTGGTCCACGATCTGCGCGTCTATGCTCTTGCTCAGATCGTCCAGTGCGCCGATGACATCCGGCATGCATTTCGTGGTGGCCCTGTCGCGCTTAATGTCCGCGCAGCTCTTCAGCACGTTGTGCTTTCTAGTGGCCGGCGCCGGGTAGGTCTTGTGGCCACACCTTGGCCACGACGTGCTGACGGCCTTCTGGAATCGGCCCAGYATCTTGGTGTTCATCTCTTCCAGGTACGTGCTGGGCTGTTCCGTCGTCCGGAACTTGGTGTTCATCACCAGCGACGCGGACGACAGCGGAAGGTGATCGCCCGTCGTCTGGTCGCTGAAGCACCGGGAGAACGCGCACAGGTCGGCGGCGGCCGATTTGCTGGTTGCGTGGCCAACACCGCCGCCGATTCGCACCAACAGTTTCTCGTGGCACTTCGCCGAAGTATCTGCAACGTGCGCCCGAGATCATTATTATCGTCAAARGGATGCCGTACGCCYGTTTTTCAGGGATAGCTTTTCAAAAGGAGCATTTCAGAAGAGTAATACGTATGAAAAGGAAACCGAAAATGTTACGATCTAAGTAGGGTGCAAAACGTATAAATGTATATAGGTAGTAGTATAAACGCGTATCGAGAAAAGTCTGACGTGTGATGGTAACGTAGTAATGATTTGTTGCCTGAAATTATTACGAATTAAAACTATTAAATTGATACCGTCAAACAATACAATACACTTTCAGTAGAAATTATGAATAATTGTTTTTAAAACAACACAAGAGAGCAAAATGTAAGCGTGATATACAGTTTATATTTTTCGATAATATTCAACTTATCAAGTTGGTAATGATTAAACGAACGTATACAAACGATTGTGRTTTACAAACGAACACTTATTTTGTCATCAAAAAAATTAAAACCTCTTTATATTAAAGATAATGTTTTTTTTAGATTTCACTGAAAAAATTAATTCGGTCATTGTAGAGGGCGATAGTATGCTCACACCACACATCTCTACACATAATGCGGTTATTCAAAATCTGAATTTCGGAATTTTTAAATATACCTAAAGACCGTATTTACCAATTTTTGAGATTTTTTTACTYAAGGAGTGCCCTGTAAAGATACAAACATTTGTTTTTTAAATGACAACCCTACTGTAAATAATTTAGCGGATAGCTTTTCTGAACGTTTCTGACRTAATTAAATAAACATTTTAACGAGTGGTTCATCATCTTATGTATAAGGATAATAATTAATAGGTCCATGTTAATAGATTTAAAAGATATAGGGGYTATGGTAATTTTAAAATTGTAGTAATTAATAATGAAATATCAATATATTTTTTAATTTATAAAAATGTTAATAAATACTAGATTTGATATAACATCTATTTTATTTTTGTAAAACTATTTTAAGTACTATTTTTATAATACATCGTATAAATAATTTAATAACTGTCAATCTAATCGTTCGGATTTTGATCTAAGCACAACGCCATTTTCAAAAAAGTTATCTACTAAAACAAATGGTTTCATTTAAATAAGGTATGGAAGGTTCTAGTTTGAAAAGTGGCAGTTTGTATCGTTCATTGTTACAGGATACTTTGTATGTTTAAAAATTCCAAAAAATATGATTTTGAATAAATTCATTATGAAATGAAAAATGAATGTGAGCACACTTGTTGAATCACCATGTATATTATTATAAATATTTATATTCATACCAAAGAGTTCACGAACGTAGAGTTTATCTTACAACATAAAATATTAAAATATTGAGCAAAAATCMCGCTCGTACGACATCCTCTTAAATCTTAATAATGCGGCCTATTCTACATTTTTACAACAGCGCGTCACATGCTTTCAGCTACAATACACTACCATGCGGCAAAAAAAAAAAAAAAAAATGTCCACGTTTCAACGCGTTAACACTACAGTGGATGATTTAAATACAATTGCCAAAAAGCTGTACAGCTGACTTGTGGGGGAGGTGGACGTTATGTATTAAACTCTATTCGTTTTTGTTTTGTAAAAAGACGCGAGCCCTGCAACAACCCCCGTCAGCCGTACAAACACATCGCTCGTATAGCACACTACAATACACTTGCTATAGCTGCGGTAAATATACCAATAATTCAAGCCGGTAAGAGCTATAGCGTATAGGTACAACATAAATCAACATACAAAGCGCTAAAAATTCCGTGATGGTATTACCAAGTATACATGCTGTAGCTTTTCAACGTGTAGACCATTTATTTTTTTGGTACGAGTTAAAAAWTTTTTTTTTTCTTATAATAATAATATTTCTAATATTATAGTAGAAGAAAATGTGCAATTTTCGTCAAAAGACGTTTTGACCATATACAATTTATAAACATGTATCTTATTATATTATATAATAGTTATAGAAACTCATTTCAGCTGTAAGGGTGCTTTGAAACAATTATTTACTCTCGTATGAATTTAAATAATACGAATAATGTTAGAGTGTGCTATTAATTGTATTATGTTTGTGTTTATCAAAAAAAAATTGAATCAACAAATTAAAAAAAAGTGATTTGTTTAATACATTATATGTTTATATTTTATGAGGTTTATGGCTAATGAGTTAATTTGGTAACATATTATAATAAGTGGTGCTATGGAGAAATAGATTACTTGTGCAGTGCGTTTATCTTATTGATATTTAAAAACGTTTCAAKTAGAGAGTTATAAATGTGATGAAAATAAATTACACTTAGAATTTATACCAGAACATACTTATTTGAAAAAATAAAAAAAAATTGTAAATAGTAAGATACACGAGCAGGGTGGACCACTTATTACCGATTAAAACCAAAGATAAATCATTGTAGGTATTCAAAGTTAAGCACGCTCGATTTATCTGAAATATGAATTATTTGTGTTTAGAATTTGTTGAAAACTGCGGTTCTCATTTAAAATATTTTTTCTTCATTGTTTTTAAGCCGCTAATGGTTTGTTCATAAATTGAAATTCATATGAATAGAAATAACCTACGCAAAYATTTATCTGGCACACGAACTCTATAATATTGTTATTATGGTTTAAAGTTATTATAATTTTTCTGTCACGATTCACCCGATTTCGTCTCTATAAATTAATAAGAATATTAAAAAAAAAAGGATGGTTTATATAATGTTACGTTAAACAAGTTTAGGCGTAGTGATTGTAATTTCAGTATACATTGTTTTTGTATCGATTAATACTGTCTTTGTATATGAAAACACCWTTTTTACTCGTTTGATTAAGTGGAAATCTTGTGTCTATCWGATTCGATTACTGCAGAATTGCATCAAAATGCGTTAAAAATTGTTGTCGTACAATAACGTGAAAATATATGTGAAAAGCGTGATGAGTGTGTTATACGAATAAGCGAAGCGTTTGTCTATACTGGTAGTAGATAAGCTTCATCCTGCTGGAACCGACCAGCATGATTCAAGCAGTACAAATCAACCAAGCCGAGTATAGGTAAAAACCAAACCATAGGTTAGGACGGTTAGGTGCGTATTATATAGGATTTGGTTAGGTTAGGTCGCGTCGGGTTAACCGTACCTGCGGTGGCCGATGGATTGTTGCCGTTATTTTGGTACCAAACCGGAGAGGCCGACCCGTTGTACGAGTACCGATGTTTTCTGGGATCAGCAGGGTCGAAGCCCACGGCCGTCGTCTCGCCCTCGGTGAAGTTCACTCGGGTCGAGAACCCTACGGCCTCCACCTGTTTCACCCTGTCGGCCACGGACCAGGACGCTCGTCTACAGTCTACGGGCGTAGATTCCGTCGAAGAGATCCTCACTTCGATGCCGTTATCGGACGCAACTCCACCGGAATTATCCGCGGTATTCTGCTGCTGTTGTTGTTGTTGTTGTTGGTGCTGCACCTGTTGTTGGTGATGCGGTTGCTGTTGGTGCTGCGGTGKCTGTTGCAGTTGCTGCAGCTGTTGCCGTTTCAGTATGCTTTTTGGCATGCTATTGCCTGTGTCTGTGGTCTCGTCTTCCGTCGTCGGACACTCGTTGCCRCCGTTTTGATTTCCGGTTCCATTGATCTGCAAGACGACGTCACTTTGAACGTCATCCCCAAACCGATATTCCGGAAGCCCGTGGCYGCTCTTCTCAGGTGGACGGTTGTACCTAAGATATACAACACACACGCAACAAAATATAGTATAACGCTGCACAAATACTTTTAACATTTAAATTTAAAAAAAAAAAGTGGACAAAATAACGGGTATCACTTTGCTGTACAGTAGTTGTCGATCGAGTATTTCATACTTGTATAATTAATTAAATTTAATGATTATAAAAATAATAATAATACATCGAAATCATCATATATTACTATAATGATTGTTATTATTTAATTTAAAGATTTACGATGGTTAATTTTTGAGTTAGGTACCTACACCAAAAAATAAATAAAATAATAATAAAATCAATTTCGTCAAAAATCAGTTCTACATAAAAATTCCTATTTCCATTTGTTTATTTTTGTTTTTTCGATGCTTTCGAAAACTACTAAAAATGTTTCGTTTTGATGTCAAAACAAAAAAAAAATCGGAGCATTTTTACCACCACAAATGTTTATGAAAGACAGAAAAAACACATATAATTGTGAAATCAATAGCTTCTATTTTGAACCACGAACAGAATCAAATTAAATTGAATGAACTTTAACAGAACTCAAAAAAATAAGTTTGAATTAATCGTTACTAATACGAGTTTGAAGTAGGTACTCGTATGAAGACCAAAACGATTTTATTATAATATATGTTGATCATGTTATTGCATTGTACAAATCAATAGATTATGCATGAAATTACCTCTTTTTAGGTCGATACAGTTGTGCTGGGGCTGGTTTGTCTTCCATGTCCACGATGTTTATCTTACCCGGAGTAGCATCGAAGTGTACCTCGGTCCTACAAAATTCTACTTTCTTGTTGCCATTTTTCTTATCAATGCTGGGTTCCTTGTCTGCCACTTCGCTTACTACTGCTATCGAATGACGTTTTGGTACTTCATCTCTATCAACATTTTTATCCATCGCCATATCCATACCAACCGACAGTCGTCTAGCGTGCACCTGTAAAATACAAATTTGCATTAAACGACCGATAGATTTTTTTCTAACACACTAAAATGTTAAATGAATATTATGTATAATTTAAATTCTAACCTGTTCTTTTTCACTCTCGTCGTTTTCTGTGGACTCCGAAATGGTGTCGCTAGGCTTGACAACGTCGAAATAAGCACTCGATTTGGACCTTAAGCTATTAATGGCTTCAAGTATCTTTCCTTTRGCGACTACGGTCGTGTTGTATGCGTGAACCTGAGTGTTGTTGTTGATCTCCTTGTTGGAATACTTTTTGACTAGATCGGCGATAGACTCACGATCGACTGACGACTGCCTGCTCGAGTTCGATAGTCCGTTTTCGGTTGAACGGCAAATACCACTGTCTGTCGATGAATCCATTGCCGATGGATCTGTAGTGTACTTGCCGCTGTGATCTGATGTTGTCACTTTCTCGAATCCGTAAGATTTGCGTCTGTTGTACCACTCTTCGGTCCTAGTCAGTGCCGAACCCCTGTAGTCTAAGCTTCTTGAGTCTCCAGTGGGTTTCACGTCCGTCTCTATTCCATCGTCTTCTTTATCCTTGTCTTCGTTTAAGTGTCGCAAGTTGTTTTTTGTTTTCTTGAGGCTCTCAACCGTGATGAAAGTAGGTTTTTTTAACGGAGATACAGGTTTAATCAATGAATAATCGTCTACAATATCCCCAYCGACCGCCTGTAATTTTTTTCCCAGAACTTTTTTCAATACGTCCTCTAGTTCACCGGCGATTTTGTGATTTGAATCGATGTTTTTGGACTGCGCAAACTGCAATGACCTCCGAAATCTAGAAGATCGGTCTAGTGGCTCTTCAGATTCGTTGATGTCACTGCGTATTTCGTCGTTAGAACAACTTTTTAGA